TCGCCAGGTATACTCAACAGACTTATCCCCCTATAATTTTTGCACTCTCTTTTATCCCCCTTTGCCTTTATACAAAGGAACTATGCATGCTCTCTGCCAATCCCTAGTACCTTACCCTCTTCCATACATTTATTAAATAATTGCACCAACCACTCCAAAACTATATCCCCATCTGCTTTTAACATTTCTATCTTATCCCATCAATCCTGGCTGCCTACCCCTTTCATTTTACCTACTGCCTCACGAACTTCCCCCACACTCACAACTGGCTCTTCCTCACTCCTACAATGTTTGTTCCTCCTTGCCCTATACCCCGAAATCACAGCTTCCCTGTCTTCATCAACATTTAACAATTCCTCAAAATATTCCCTCCATCTTCCCAATACCTAACTCTCCATTTAATAACTCTCCTCCCTATTTTTAACTGACAAATCCATTTGTTCTCTAGGCTTTCTTAACTTATTAATCTCACTCCAAAACTTTTTCTTATTTCAACAAAATTTGTTGATAACATCTCACCCACTCTCTCATTTGCTCTCTTTTTACATTGCTTCACCACTCTCTTAAACCTCTCTCTTTTTCTCCATATACTCTTCCCTCCTTGCATCACTTCTACTTTGTAAAAACTTTTCATATGCTAACTTTTTCTCCCTTACTACTCTCTTCACATCATCATTCACCAATCACTCCTCTTCCCTCCCGCACCCACTTTCCTGTAACCACAAACTTCTGCTGAACACTCTAACACTACATTTTTAAACATACCCCATACCTCTTCGACCCCATTGCCTATGCTCTCATTAGCCCAATCTATCCTCCAATAGCTGTTTTATATCTTACCCTACTGCCTCCTCTTTTAGTTATAAAACCTTCACCTCTCTCTTCCCTGATGCTTCTATTCTCCTTGTATCCCATCTACCTTTACTCTCATGTAGCTACAACTAGAAAGTGATCTGATATATCTGTGGCCCCTCTATAAACATGTACATCCTGAAGTCTACTCAACAGTCTTTTATCTACCAATACATAATCCAACAAACTACTGTCATTTCGCCCTACATCATATCTTGTATACTTATTTATCCTCTTTTTCTTAAAATATGTATTACCTATAACTAAAACCCCTTTCTATACAAAGTTCAATCAAAGGGCTCCCATTATCATTTACACCTGGCACCCAAACTTACCTACCACACCCTCTCTAAAAGTTTCTCCTACTTTAGCATTCAGGTCCCCTACCACAATTACTCTCTCACTTGGTTCAAAGGCTCCTATTCATTCACTTAACATCTCCCAAAATCTCTCTCTCTCCTCTGCATTCCTCTCTTCTCCAGGTGCATACACGCTTATTATGACCCACTTCTCGCATCCAACCTTTACTTTATTCCACATAATTCTTGAATTTACACATTCATATTCTCTTTTCTCCTTCCATAACTGATCATTCAACATTACTGCTACCCCTTCCTTTGCTCTAACTCTCTCAGATACTCCAGATTTAATCCCATTCCTACCATTCCTGGTACCAAAATAACAGTTCCTGTTCATTATTTTTTTTTTTTTTAACAAGTTGGCTGTCTCCCACTGAGGCAGGGTGACCCAAAAAGAAAGAAAATCCCCAAAAAGAAAATACTTTCATCATCATTCAACACTTTTACCTGACTCATACATAATCACTGTTTTTGCAGAGGTGCCCAGAACACAACAGTTTAGAAGCATATACGTATACACAACATATACGATACACAGCATATATGATACACAACATATCCCTCCAAACTGCTAATATCCCAAACCCATATAACTAATGAATTCTATTTTGTTTTTTTTTATTTACACATTTTTATTCAAACAAAAAAACAGTTTAAACTGTTAGGTAATATTGCAATAATTGTATAAATAATATCAATGAATTCATGAACAAATATTAGACTCACCAGCTGGACATGTATTGGACAAGTGACATGATTTGTTTCCTCTTGAATATCAGAAAAATCAAACATTTCTGCTACTCTGAGCTCAATTTCAAGCTATTTTCAGTCCTAAAACCAATCGAAATCATCTCTATTTCTGTAATATATCTTCCATTCTATCAAATGAGACCAAGAAACCAAGAATACAACTACAAAGTTACATGAAAATACATAGCAAAGTTGCTTTTTTAAATAAAAAACTCGCAATTTTGTTCTCATTATGCACTGCGTGCTGCAGGATTTTTTTTATGGTACATACCACATTGACCCATTCTCTCATATCTAGGCTCACAGCCTAGAGAGGAGAAAATAGGTTGATGAGCTCAGCTCATCACGTAGTAGTAGTAGTACGTCAAAGCCAGTGAACTCTAAAGGCATAGTCCTATGGCACAGTCACTGAAGTGGTTAAGGAAATTGAATGTTTGACACAGTTACCAGGTACTGCACAAAAAAAATGGGTACACACTCCTTCCAGAGACAATGGATATTGCAAATAAAATGCCTGAGGGTATTACTTCTTTTAAAAACACTGACTTTCACTCTTATTCTTCTTAGCACTTCAAGTAATACTAATATACTACCTTTTTATGTTATAGTTATTATCCAGCCTCAAAATCTACTAGCAAACAGCTTGGCTTTTGCTTAGCATATTCCTGTACATTATATCTAATCTATTAACCCTTTTGGTGTTGGTCCCGTTGTACTATGACTCTGAAGCCAGGGTCGGTCCTGTTGTACTACACCATTAGCTCAGCTCACTCAGATAAGCTGTGAGTAGTAAATTTGGGCCTAGATATGAGAGAATTGGTCTATGGGGTAAGTGTGCAACATGTAAAAAAATCCTGCAGCACACAGTGCACAAGAAAAAAACTGTAACCGTGTTTTTGGTTTAAAACAGCAACTTTGCGGTGTATTTTTGTATGGTTTTTATGGCTCTATTCTTGGTTTCTTGGTCTCATTTGATAGAATGGAATTTTTTTTTTTTCAACGAACGGACCGTACCCCACCAAGGCAGGGTGGCCCAAAAAGAAAAATTAAAGTTTCTCTTTTTAAATTTAGTAATTTATACAAGAGAAGGGGTTACTAGCCCCTTGCCCCTGGCATTTTAGTCGCCTCTTACAACACGCATGGCTTACGGAGGAAGAATTCTGTTCCACCTCCCCATGGAGATAAGAGGAAATAAACAAGAACAAGAACTAGAAAGAAAATAGAAGAAAACCCAGAGGGGTGTGTATATATATGCTTGTACATGTATGTGTAGTGTGACCTAAGTGTAAGTAGAAGTAGCAAGACGTACCTGAAATCTTGCATGTTTATGAGACAGAAAAAAGGACACCAAAATCCTACCATCATGTAAAACAATTACAGGCTTTCATTTTACACTCACTTGGTAGGACGGTAGTACCTCCCTGGGCAGTTGCTATCTACCAACCTACTACCTAGGAATGGAAAATATATTACAGAAATAGACATGATTTTAAACAGTTTCAGGATTGAAAGTAGCTTGAAATTGAGTTCAAATTAGCAGAAATGTTTGATTTTTGCTGATAATCCAGGGTACACAGATGACATCACTTGTCCAATATGCGTCCAAATGGCCAGTCTAATACGCATTTAGGAATGCAACGACATTATTTATACAATTCTTGCAATAATGCAGTAGTCTGCATAACAGTAAATCTTTTATTTTTTGTGTGCATAAAAATTCAAAATGGAAAGCAAGCATAACATAAGAAGGGCCTCGGGACATGACTAAGGAACAGAGGAAATGTTTTTTAGTGCCAAGAATGTTTATTTTTAATCTGATTTTTTTTAATTTTGTGTGAAATTGGCCAAATTACAGATTTATCACTTCAATGGGTAGTTGAAATAGGTAAATGGGCATTTTCTTGTACTCAATTGACAGAAGGAATACTAGTGAAATAGCTATGAGATTGGTAGACTGGAACAATGGAACTGGCCAAAAATAGGTTGCAAAGTGGGCGAAATCACTGATGCGTGAATATCGCCAAGACCATTACCTTTGCAAGAGCGTAATTTCGTAAGTTTTCAATCAAATTTCGTACTTTTGGTTTACCTTCAGGAAGAGATTCTCTATCATTTCACAAAATAATTTTTTTTCTTTTGAAAATTCTTCGACCCTGAGAATTTTGAGATCAGGGGTCTCGACCCTGAAAGGGTTAAATTATTAAAGAAAAATATGGATGAGTAAACTGCATGTATTTAGATTTTAAGATATCATTTGATAGTTCCAAACAGAAGACTAATTTTGAAACTAAAAACAGGAAGAATAAAATGCAGACTAATACTGAGGATTATAGATCATTATCTTTGATAGGAGGGACAGGGGGGTTAATTCTAGGAAAGATTAGAGGGAGGGGGTAAAGGTAGTTTTGTATGCATGGGGCTTGGACACCAAACAGGCATATGCAAGTGTTAGATAGGAGTGGAGGCAGGTAGTTTTTATGATGATGCGCTTTTGGAGTGTGAGCAAGGTACCATTGATGAAGGAATTCAGGGAAACCAGTTAGCTGGACTTGAGTCCTAGAGATGGTAAGTACAGTGCCTGTACTCTGAAGGAGGCATGGGGAAACTGCAGGGTGGAGTGGTATCTGAGCTATTATGCTGGTGCACCTCTAGCCAGACAGTGATGGAGTGAGTGATAGTGAAAGCGTTTTTTCTTTTTTTTGTCACCCTACCTTAGGTAAGGGTCACACAGCAAATGGAAAATGTGAGGTAATCAGGTTTCATCCTCCCCCCAAAAAAATTACAGCTCCAATTCCTCAGATTAGGAGCCCCACACCAGAATCCATATTTCTATAAAAATTAAGTGATGCACTGATGGAATGGTATTCACAAAAAGGTAGTAAAGTTGTGCTACATCCACTGAAAAGTCTAAAAAAAATATGTGACAAACTGAACAGAGCACAGCTCTGCTCCTGTAACTACAAACATGTAATGGCACACGCAAGCACATATAGGTACATACATACATTAACACATGCACTAGTTATACACACCACTTACAGCAATAACAGCCCGAGCATTATCATCAGTGAAGTCTAATCCTTCACTGACTTTCCCACGACACACTGCCATGAAGAAAGCACCATTAATCTCTCCACTCTCCTGTGTTCTGATAAGACAAAAATAATTTCAGGCTTTTAAATTCAATATTACTTGGGTTATTTGAATATGAGTGACTAATAATAGAAAAGAAAGAACTGTTAAGTTATGAATAACAAGAAGCTTGATATTCTAACACTAAACAAAACAAAGAAAAGGGGGATGGGAGAATTTTAAATAGGATGAGGTGTATCCAAAGAGAACTAGACATAGTAGTAGTAACTTTGAACAATCTGCTGTGGAAAGGAAGGGGCATTAGCATATAAGAGAAAACGGGATGAGGGAGTATACCTGGAGGCTGTTTTGAGGGTCAACGCCCCTGTGGCCCGGTCCATGACCAGGTCTCATGGTGGATCAGGGCCTGATCAACTACGATGCTGCTGCTGGAGACATGCAAACCAATGTACGAACAACAGCCCGGCTGGTCAGGTACTGACTTTAGGTGTCTAACCAGCTCCCTCCTTAAGACAGCCAGGGGTCTATTGGTAATCCCCCTTATATATTCTGGGAGACAGTTGAACAGTCTTGGGCCCCTGACACTTATTGTGTTGTCTCTTAGTGTACTCATGGCACCCCTGCTTTTCATTGGGGGGATGTTGTTCCACCTGTAGTCTTGCTTTCATAGACAGAATATAAGAATTATAGAGAAATAAGACTGCTCAGTCTTGTAACTGATTTACGTGATGGTAGGAATGCTGGTGTCTTTTTTTTTCTCAAACGTGCAAGATTTCAGGTGTACCGTCTTGCTACTTCTACTTACACTTGGGTCACACTACACATATGTGTACAAGCATAGATATACACACCCCTCTGGGTTTTCTTATATTTTCTTACTAGTTCTTGTTCTTGTTTATTTCCGCTTATCTCCATGGGGAAGTGGAACAGAATTCTCCCTCTGTAAGCCATGCATATCATAAGAGGCAACTAAAATGCCAGGAGCAAGGGGCTAGTAACCCATTCTTCTGTATATATTACTGAATTTAAAAGGAGAAACTTTCGTTTTTCTTTTTGGGCTACCCTGCCTCGGTGGGATATGGCCGGTGCACTGAAAGAAAGAAGACTGCTCAGTATACCAGGTAAAGTGTATGGTAGAACTGTTACTGAAAAAGCTACAGACATGAGAGAAAGCAGGATTGCAGAGGACCAAGGAGGATTTAGGGAAAGTAGGATATGTGAAGACCAAGAGTTACACTGAGGCATATAAGTGAACAATACATAGATAAGGGTAGGGAACTATTTGTCACATTTGTGGATTTTGAAAAAGCATACGATAGCATGGACCAAGAAGCAATGTGGCAAATGATGCCAATGTATAATATAAATATTACAGTACATCATTAATACATTCACGGGGCAAAGTGCTTAACATAGCTATATAGGGGCCTTAAAGCCCTTGGAGGAATGACGGGATTAATACAAGGGGTAATCAAGTTCAATTTCTAAGACCAAGAGCCTGTCATCAGTGTTAAGGAACCTTTCTTGAGGGGGAATAAATAGTAGATTACTAAATGCATAACGAGTAGAGATTTTATGCAGCGAATGCAGCTCAGGTTAGGGAACTATTTTCCACTAAAAGCAGGCATTAGACAGTGATGTGTTTTGTCACTACAGTTGTTTAATACAATTATAAATGGGGTTGTAGAAGTGTGGGATTGAAAGAAAATGATACTGAAATGAAATGGGAATTGTCACAGTTACTTTAGGAGATTATGCAGAGAATTTGCAGAGATTTGTGAAGGAGTTTGGGAGTGTGTGTAAAAGGAAATTAAATGTGAATATAGAAAATAGCAAGATGGTGAGATTAATGAAAAAGAATAGGTATTGAAAGACTATAATCAGACTGAGGAAGTGAGGGTATTAAGATATTTGGGAGTGTGTTGGTAGTTAACTGATGAAAGACAAAATAAACTATAAAAATAAATGAGAAGAAAAATGTAGGTGGTATGCTGAGGCATTTGTGGAAAGAAAGACGTTTATCCATTGGGTACGGATCCCTTTTGCTTCATGTGTTAGGTGCATTCCTGGTGAATGGTGCATAAAACACCTCAATTACTGGGAGCGCTTGAGGTTTCTAAACCTGTATTCCCTGGAACGCAGGAGGGAGAGATACATGATTATATACACCTGGAAAATCCTAGAGGGACTAGTACCGAACTTGCACACGAAAATCACTCACTACGAAAGCAAAAGACTTGGCAGACGATGCACCATCCCCCCAATGAAAAGCAGGGGTGTCACTAGCACGTTAAGAGACCATACAATAAGTGTCAGGGGCCCGAGACTGTTCAACTGCCTCCCAGCACACATAAGGGGGATTACCAACAGACCCCTGGCAGTCTTCAAGCTGGCACTGGACAAGCACCTAAAGTCAGTTCCTGATCAGCCGGGCTGTGGCTCGTACGTTGGTTTGCGTGCAGCCAGCAGCAACAGCCTGGTTGATCAGGTGCTGATCCACCAGGAGGCCTGGTCACAGACCGGGCCGCGGGGGCGTTGACCCCCGAAACTCTCTCCAGGTAAACTCCAGGTAATGTAACAAGTAAAGCATAGGGTTTTGTTCCAAGATCTTGATAAATTCCACATTTTTTGACTCATGCACCAAACAGTTATACACAAGAAAGAAATTTGCTCAAAAACCTAAACAAAAGACAAAATTCTATCATAATTACTGTACAATGCAAAATCGGGAAAATAAATTCTACATTTCTTTACTTATTTAAAAAAAAAAATTATGAGCATACCAGATACTCACAAAATGTCCATACAGTGAAGGTAAAATAAGTACAATTGGACAACTGGTAAAAAGTAAAGAAATTTAATCCAAAGTTCAATCATAATTCTCCTTCCACAATCATCCAACCAGCCTCTCTTTGTTTATGAACCTGTGAATACAGGTCTCCCTCAACATTCATGTTTTCAACTTTCACGGGCTTCACACATTCGCGAATTCCCAACCACCAAATTCCCAGCCACCAAATCATATTTAAGTTTCCCGCCACCTGCAAGTCCCTACTACCCTCCCTCCGACCCCCGCAACTGGCAGCCAGCCCTCCCACCACTCAGTGTGGTGAGTGTTTCGTTTATTCATTATTTGCTATTAAACTACAGTATAAATAATGTAAACCCATTCATGACTGCATATTGGAATGGCTATTCGAACAGGTATTAGACGGTGACATCATGCGTTTACTCTTTAACACTGCAAAGAATTAAACATTTCTGCTACAGCTAATAATAACAGTAGTAGTAGTAGTAGTAGTAGTAGTAGTAGTAGTAGTAGTAGTAGTAGTAGTAGTAGTAGTAGTAGTAGTAGTAGTAGTAGTAATATAGTAGTAATAGTAGTAGTAATAGTATAGTAATAGTAGTAGTAATAGTATAGTAATATAGTAGTAATAGTAGTAGTAATATAGTAGTATATGAGTAGTAATAGTAGTAGTAATAGTAGTAGTAATAGTAGTAGTAATAGTAGTAGTAATAGTAGTAGTAATAGTAGTAGTAATAGTAGTAATAATTGTAATAATAATTGTAATAATAATTGTAATAATAATTGTAATAATAATTTAATAATAATAGTAATATAATATAATAATAATAGTAATAATAGTAATAATATAGTAATAATAATAATAGTAATAATAATAATAGTAATAATAATAATAGTAATAATAATAATAATAGTAACAATAATAATAATAGTAATAATAATAATTAGATATAATAATATAATAAATAGTAATAATAATATAATAGTAATAATAATAGTATAATAATAATAATAATAATAGTCGGCCTAGGAAGGTTGGAGGGAGGGGGTAAAGGAAGGTTTTGTGTGCGAGGGGCTTGGACTTCCCAGCAGGCAATGCGTGAGCGTGTTTGAGGAGTGAATGGAGACAATGGTTTTAATACTTGACGTGCTGTTGGAGTGTGAGCAAAGTAACATTATGAAGGGATTCAGGGAACCGCCAGGCACGGACTTGAGTTCATGGAGATGGGTAAGTACATTGCCTGAAACTCTAAAAGGAGGGTGTTAATGTTATCAGTTTAAAAACTGTAGTTGTAAAGCACCTTCTGGCAAGACAGTGAATGGAGTGAAATGATGTATGAAAGTTTTCGTTATCGGGCCACCCTGCCTTGTGGGAATCGCCGTGTGATAATAATAAAAAAAATAATAATAATAGTAATAATAGTAATAATAGTAATAATAATAATAATAATAATAATACTAGTAATAGTAATAATAATAATAATAGTAATAATAATAATAGTAATAAAATAATAATTAATAATAATAATTAATAAATTAAATATGATATAATCGAAGAAGGAAATTGTACAGAAATACGAGGGAGTGGTTGACACATCGTCAGTGTGACTTTGTTTATGCTGGAGTGAACATTAGTCTCCCTGCTCTTCCAAACATTTCACAATAATTCATTGTGTTTGGTGCTTGTAGATTGAGTGTGACTGGAGTGGTAGAGGCTTGATTGAGGCAATGGTATTTAATAACATACCTGTTTAATAATAATACATGTTTATTAATAATAGTACTATGTTATTTATTAACATATATGTTATTAAATACATACATGTTAATAATAATACATGTTATTAATAATAACGTGTACTATTATTATTTATAACATATATGTTATTAAATACCACTGCCTCAACCGCTGAATTATTGTGAAATGTTTGGAAGAACAGGGAGACTAATGTTCACCCCAGCATAAAGAAAGTCACACTGACGATGTGTCAACCACTCCCTCGTATTTTTGTACAATTTCCTTCTTCAATTATATCGTATTTATTATTATTATTATTATCATTATTATTATTATTACTATTGTTATTATTGGCAATAGCAGAAATATTCGATTCTTTGCAGTGTTCAAGAGTAAACACATGATGTCACCGTCTAATACCTTTCCTAATAGCCATTCCAATATGCAGTCATGGATGAGTTTACATTATTTATTCTATAGTTTAATAGCAAATAATGAACAAACAAAACACTCACCACACTGAGTGGTGGGAGGGCTGGCTGCCAGTTGCGGGGGTCGGAGGGAGGGTAGTAGGGACTCGCAGTGGTGGAGGCATTGGTGGAGTCTGTGTTATTTAATTATACATACATGTTGTTAACTTACATGTATTAAATAACATACGTTATTAAAGCATAACATGTATATATTTAGTACAATTTACGACGTTTTCATGTATTTTATGATTATTCATGGTTCAACAAGTTGAGGAAGCAGTATTGTAATATATTTCCCTACAATATATTGGGGCACCAAACATTCACGGTTTTTCAACATTCGCGAGGCTCTTGATCCCCTAACCCTCGCGAATGTTGAGGGAGACCTGTATATACTTTCCCACTACTCTTTCCTCCCTTCCTCCAACCTCAGTTTCAACCATACTGTCACAACTCAACTTTGTCTGACCAAATGTCCATCTTTTGGTGTAGTACAAGAAACTTTTGATTAAAAGCCAACCACAGGGTTTCATTCAAAATATGTCCAATGGACTTTCCACGCAATGTTTTCTATCACTTACTGGTTAAAACAGCAAGCGGCACTGAGCTAAGATAATAGAATAAAGCAGTTTTTTAAGGTTTGACATGCTTTTGGAGTAAGAGCAAAGTACCCTTTATGAAGGGTACTTTGAGTCCTGGAGGTAGAAAGTACAGTGCCTGCATTTTGAAGGAGGGGCAGAGATGCTACCTTTCTGAGTGTCATATGAATTATGAAGTCTGTATACTTCTGGCAACATAGAAACTGAATGAATACTGATGAATATGCTTCCTTTTTTCTTTTTTGTTCTTCTTAAATGGTATATAGATGGTTTTGCTATGTAAATAATAATCCACAGATGGCAAAATATAAGAAAATGAAGTGACATGAAAAAAACTTTTTCCACATGTAAATGAAGTGGAATGATTTAGAAAGATAGTACTAGATGACACCTTACAGGAGTTCTAAAGCATATACAACAAAGCTGAAAGGGAGAACCAAGAGCTAGAGCTCACTAACCTACACAGTTATAAATTTTTTTTTTCAACAAGTCACCTATCTCCCACCAAGGCAGGGTGACCCAAAAAGAAAGAAAATACTTACCTCGTCATTCAACACTTTCACCTCACTCATACATAATCACTGTCTTTGCAGAGGCACTTGGATACGACAGTTTAGATGCCCCTCCAAACTGTCAACATCCCAGACCCCGCCTTTAAAGTGCAGGCATTGTATTTCCCATTTCTAGGACTCAAGTCTGGCTAAATCTATAATAACTGGTTTCCCTGAATTCCTTCACTAAATATTACCCTGCCCACACTCCAACAGCTCGTCAAGTCCCAAAAACCATTTGTCTCCATTTACTCCTATCTAAGACGCTCACACACGCATGCTGAAAGTTAAATATATATACATGCATAGGTAATTACAAATAGGTTATTGAACACAAGACCTGAGAGTAGCCGTAAAATGTGCAAATGAATATTAACAATGGTATATAAGAGTGTGCTTTCAAAACTCTGAATACAAACTACTACCAAATTGTTATTGGCCACATGTGCATAATTAATCCTCTGGAACATGACACCAAGGCATGTAGAGGTACTACATGCCTTTAAGCAAGTACTACAGTGGAACCTCGGTTTTTGTTTGCCTCTGATTTCATCATTTTCGGTTATCGCCGACTTTTTTTCGCCAAAATGTTGTCTCTGTTTTCGTTGATCGCCTCAGGTTTCGTCGGTCGCTCCGAGTGTGTCCGAGTACCGCACACACACAAAGCCTCCCACACACGCATTCTGAGTCAGTGTGGCATTGTTTCTTGGCGAGTGAACATTACCGTGTGTGTGTTCATACAAAACATTTCGTAATAATCTATTGTTATTTGTGCTTGTTTATTGTGTTTCACTGCTAAATAAGCCACCACGGGCACAAAGAAAGTTCCTATTTGAACTCTGCTTGGAGAAAATTGTAGCCAGATGGTGTCCTTGGCAAGGATTTTGAAGGGTTTGAGGCTGACTTTATGCCTGTTGTGGAATACATTGTGTCTTTGGGGAAGTCCATGGGGTTGGATGTGAGTGGCCAGGATGTGGAAGAGTTGGTGGAGGACCACAGTGAAGAGCTAACCACTGAAGAGCTGTAAGACCTTCATCTGGAACAGCAACAGACCATAGCTGAGGAAACTACTTCAGAGGAGGAGGAGGAAGACAGAGGGGAGAAGGTGCCATCCTCAGATCACATTTGTGCCAAGTGGAGTGAGGTGCAAACGTTTGTGGAGAAACAATCATTCTAACAAAGCTCTTGCAGGCCATGTCTGCAACATGCTCAATGACAATGCCTTGACCCATTTTAGGCAAATCTTAAAGAGATGCCAGAAACAAACATCTCTGGACAGATTTTTTGTGTGACAGGGGTTCAGTGACTCTGAAGCTGGTCCTAGTGCCAGTAAAAAACAAAGAAGGGAAGTAACCTCGGATAAGGGCTTGGTACCTAGTCCTTATTCAAGGGGATTTCCCTTCCAAACAATAACTTCTCCTCCCTCTCCCCTCCTTCCCGTCTTCCATACACCAACAAGAGTCTTCAATAAAGGTAAGTGTGATGTTAAATGTTCATTTATCTACATTTATTCTCTAAAAACTGTATTTTTTTTTTAATACTTTTGGGTGTCTGGAACAGATTAATTGGATTTACATTATTTCTTGGGGGAAATAGTTTCGGTTTTCGTCAGACTCTCTGGAACGGATTAATCATGAAAACCGAGGTTCCACTGTACTGGAAAGCCCCATTATACAGCAGGTTAGGTTCCAGGCTTCTGCGGTACAGTAAAAATCTCTGTAAAATGAAACAGCATTTTTTCCACTTTCAAATGCATATAAAAGCCTGATAACATGTTTACACTATCATATATTAAGCAAGTTAGGCCTAAAAAATGCATATACACACATATTACCTACCTTTATATATTTTCATCCTTAGCTTAGTGAGTGGTGAATATACTTATTGTAGTAAGTCTGAATAAATGAAGAATGGGTATAACTGAAAACCACTGCATTAGCAAAGCGAGACCCTTCTGTATCAAAACTGCAAGGAAGAATAGAGACTCCATGATCTTGATCTCATATTGCTGGAGAAATATACAATGAGAAGATATAATCAGAAAATATAAGGGCAGTCACAAGCTCACTGATATAAAAGAAGCAAGGGGACACAAATGGAAGCTCAACATCCAAATAAACCATAAAGATGATGAATGAGACATATGCAACTCTTGGGCAGCATAAAGCCAGCCAATGTCTTTATCAATTCAATATAAAGGTTATGTTAACACATTCAAATAACCTCTGTACTGAATTGAACCTTCGCGGTAATAAAGATACCCAGGTGGTGTTGCATATATGCCTTGTGCATCACCTTGTGTGAATTGTATACTATTACTGATACTAAGCCATAAAGATGTTAGAAAACATTTTTACAGCATAAGAAAATCACACAAATAACTCGCACATAGGAGAGAGGAGCTTACGACGACATTTTGGTTCGGCTTGGACCATTTACAAAGTCACATTAACAGGTCGACCATATAAAGATTATTTATTAATTAAAAGGAGAAATTGTAATCAGTCTGCCCCTAGCATATTAAGTCTCTTTCTACAACACAAGTGGATTACATAGAAAGCCTTCTAACCCACTTTCCCATGGAAAACAAATAATGGCATGCTCACAAATACACAAATGAAAATTTTATGTATACAGTGATGAACTTGCAAAAACATATTGTAGGAGCATACTGTATTTAAAATAGCATTGTAATTAATAAATTACAAATTATTAGTAACATTTCCTTGTTGCTCACCCAGAATTTTTAATAGTGTCATAAAAGAGTGCCATGGCTTCTTCAAACTTTTCACTGTTTCTTGGCTCAGTAATGGCTACCTTAATTTGGTTCAGCTCATCCCACATCCCTGTGTTCTGCCACCTATAAAAGAAAACATGAGGAAATGTCTAGATCTATAACACAATTATGGCAGATGACACAAGACTGGAAAAAGAATATATTGTACTGTAGCATTAATTCTCACTGAGCATATGCAGTCTCCTTTAAGCATTTATATCCCAACATATCCTTTAATGGGGTGCCTTGGAACTGGTGAAGGTTTCTTGATCTAAGGAATTGGTGCTACCCTTGCCTTTCTTGGATAAAGCCTGATAAACTTCCATTCTACAGGTGCTGTATGATTCCTGTGGATATTAGCCCTTCCTAATGAATATACTTTTGACAGTAATATCCATTCACAACTTACATCTCTTTCACATACATATTTTTATGCAAAACTATCAATTATTTTATCACTTCAGTTTTTTCTCCCACCTTATCCTTTCCCTTACTTCACCTGTTAATTGTTATACATTCCCACACCATCAACAAGTTATATTCTCCATTATTTTGACAATTCTTGTCTTTATTACATGCAAGTCACAGTAACACTGTCACTACCAGTAAGTGTCATGTAATAGAAATGGGAGTGAGCAATAAGAGGCCACATGAAGACTACTGATACTGGAGGGCCAAAATCAAATCTACACACTACCATAACTTACTGAAGTGAAAGATATTGGAGAAAGTGCAAAATAAATTCGGTGAAAATCCAGGGTACCACTGGCATGAAAAGAGAACAGTGTGTTAAAACTATTCAAAATGCTAACAACAAATATCTGAAGTACTGTCAGATCAAATGCAGAAGTCTTCAAGTGCCAGATCAACCTTTCTATGTGGACCAGCAGGCCACTAAAAGCAACAGACTGGTTGAATAAGAACTCAACAAGGAAGCTTGGCAAGATGGAAAAGCCCTCAAAACTGGTCACAGATCACAGACTCATTTCTTGCCATATTTAAATTATATTTTTTGGGAAGAAACTGGCAATCGTTTGGTATTAGTTAAGTCTCTGATACTGGAAGTTCAAAATTACACAAGCATGGTGATGCCTGGCAGCTACTGTCCACATTTTCCCATTCATGTACCCTTTCACACACATTTAATTCAGTTTGTTATCACAGCATGTTACATATAATAGAAGCATAATCAGGGGTGAAAGGGTTACAATTAGGGGCTCCACAAAGAATCAATAGTACAGGTCCACGTTCCTTCATCTGAAATTCGAAAAGTTCCGAAAAACAAAGTTTTTTTGTGGAGTGTGGAGCATCAGTAATTTCTACATAACTCCAACACCGCCACGTGGCAGCGTGACCCAGCACTGACAGCCAGAGTGGCAGGCGTTAGTTGTGTCTCAGCGCTTGTAGTGTTCACACGCGTGTCTGCTGTTCGCTGATATTTTGTTTTTGCTTTTTATTTTGTGACTTGTGTTTAATTTCATTGTGAAAATGTCAAAAAAAGCTGCAGATACCCCTATGGGTAACAGTGAGAAAAAGCATGAGAATAGTAGTGATGATGACGACATTGTGAACACAGGTGAAAAAGTCCCCATAGACGATATGATGAAAATGTACGATTAGTTAATTGTTGGCCTTGAACAACGTGCATTTATCAGTGAGAAAAAAATTATGGCAATTTACTCAGTTAACCCTTTGACTGTTGTGACCCCAAATCCTAAAGTCTCTCTCTCTGTCACAAAATATATGGGAAAAAAAAAATCTTACCAAATGTTAAGATTAACTTGCTGATTGTTTTAAGACCCAAAAAAATTTTTGCAATCAGCACTTACTGAGATATAGAGGCATAAAGTTGGCAGAAAATGAGTCTTGTATGGCAACAGCGGCAAATGCTGCTCACCCAGTAAAATTATTTTTACTCCCATTCGAAGGTTTCTTGTATTTTCCAATATTTTATTTTTTCAAGTAACTTATGTGGCCTGTGAGACCAAAGTAAGGTGCAATGTACATATATACACTCGTATGGAACACAATAATTGCTCAAACATTATCATTAAATTATTTACAAAACTTGTTTACACAAACCAACAGTATAAACAATTGTTTATTACTATTGTTCTATAATATATATACAAATAGACAGTCACTGGACACTTTCCTAGAACTGCTGCAACTTGTGGAATTCTTTGAAACATAGTGTTATGCACTGTGGTGTTTTACACTCCTCACACATAAAACGAGTGTCTCTGCATTTTTGTGGGTGTTTTTTGGTATGTGCACAGAAATAACACCTCTTCTGAGAAGTTTTCTTGAAAGTAGTAGGAGGAAGTTGTATGGTGTAGTGATCACCAGGCCTCAGGCGAGAGGGTGTGTGTTAATAATTTCTTGGGAGCTGGTCTATTGCAGGTGTTGTTACTTGAATATTATTTGTCTGATGACTGACAAACAAATTTCACCATATTTTGGTTTGTTGTTGGTCTTCAACTTATACATGTTATAAGCATTCAGCAAGGAAATGTCAAGAAAATGGAAAGAGAGTTTTATGTATCACTTAAACTCTTGCAAACCCAATCTGCATATCACATTTGTCCACTAAGTGCATATTGAGTTGTAGTCCATCACAGCTGCAGGTTTTAGAATGGGTTCATTGGTCTCTCTATTCTGCCTGTCACTGTCTGCCATTTCATTTCGGTGAACTGATGTCAAAAATGTGACATCACGTTTGTCATGCCACCGAAATGCCATGATGTCATTGGCAGCTAACACCTGCACCTCACCTCTGTGAGTGCTTGCGTTGAACTTGGGCATATGCTTATGATTTCCATGCACTGTGCCACACACGTCTGTCATGTTCACTCGTAAGAAATCACTGAGTAAGGGGCTTTTGTACCAGTTATCAGTATATAATATATGCCCTTTACCAAGATATGGCTCCATCATTGTTCTAACCACACTACCAGAGATACCCAATAACTTCCTGGTATCTTGCAATGTATTACTGCCAGTGTACACAATTACATTTAAAACAAGACCACTTTTGCAATCACACAGTACAAATAACTTTATATCAAAGAGTTTCCTCTTGCTTGGTATATACTGCTTGAACAACAGTCTACCTTTGAACAAAACCAGACTCATCAATAACAAGCTTCCTGAAGGGATAAAAATACATACAGCACTTTTGTTTCAGGTACACAAACACATTCCTGATCTTATATAACCTGTTGTTTCCATCAGGCCTTGTTTTGTCTGAGAAGTGTAGCATACGTAACAGTAGGAGAAATCGATTCACGGGTATAATGTCACTGAAAGATGGGGTTGAAATCAGGCGGTCTGTCGACCAGTATGTGGTGACAGTGTGCTTATACACATGTAGCATAAGCATAACTGTGGCAAAGAACAGATATATCTCTGCCACAGTTGTGTCCTTCCATTTGTGTAGGCATGATCTTGGTGAAACAATTGTGTTTGCCATGGTGTATTCGAAGTATGTGTTACTTTGCCTGACAATAATGTCCATCAGGGGTTCATCGAAGAATAACTGAAAGCATTCCAGTTCAGTGGCATTGTTCCCAAGTGTACATAATGGCCGTATTCCACTTTGTGTTTCGTCAAAGTGATGGGGATTGGAAACAAAATTGACACCTTCCTGCCAATCCCAGATGCGGTCTGCTGGTGGGTACTGAATTTACAGTACCCACCAGCAGGTGGTTGTGGTTGTGCAGGTTGTGGGAGTGTGGGGGTGGTTGAGGGTGGCCTTTGTTGTGGCTGTGCTGAGTTAGCAGCTTGGGTACCAGCATGGGCTGCTGCTGGTGCCACACGACGCATGTCACCACCAACACCACCACCACCTGCTGCCCCACACACATTAACCATCCCCAGTGTAACAATACCATCGTCATCTTCACTATCAGTTCGTGGTGTAGGGCCACAGGATGTACATACTCTGAGATTTACTACTTCCCCTTGGAATGGCATGTGGCACACTACCAGAATACATGCTGCGTTGTACATACTGCTGCTTCACTGGAGAATATTCCCCCTCACTGTTGCAACTTGAACTGCATTCAATAGCTTGGAAATCACTATCAATATCATTTTCACTGCTCACATCTAAGTCCTGTACATGGGGAAATAGTTTCCTCTTTTGCCCTGGCACAGGTGAATGTGAATGAGATGGCCCAGCACCAGAGGTGGAAGGTTGTGGGTCGTCTGGGTTTTCATCACTAATTACATTATCCTGGGCACTGCTTTCAGTCATACCCTCCTCAAAACCATGAAATTCACCTTCACTGGCACCGCCAGCAATGTTAGAGCTATCACTTGGGAATAGAAGATTCTCAATTCGCCAGGGAGTAAGGAGCTTCTTACTACGAGGCATGGTGAACAAGGCGTACTGAAATGGCCTTCCCACAATGCACCACTGGGTCCTCAATTTTTTTCATACTGCGCACACCCATCACACAGACCCATTCTCTCACATGTGGGCTTACCAGCTTTCTCCCACTTGATTTGAAGCCGCTAGAATTTTGGCGTATTAATACATCTAAAACACTGGCTTGTAAGACATATTTATACAACACTGACAGTCAAATGATTAAAGAGAGGTTGCTTAGACAGAAACCTATATTAATAAGACAGATAACACTTGAAAAAGTCTTTAAAAATGCCGTCTGTCAATTGTCTTGAGAATCATGTTCTTGGTCTATAGTTATCCCATTATTTCATTTATCAATATATTACCCTGTAAATAAACTGTAGTATTATTTGTAGTCATTATTTATCCCACTTAGTGTGAGTATTCATACATTTTTGCTGCAGTGTTAATGTTTGCTTATAGGGTGCTGCCCTAGACCCCACCTTCATTCTGAAATCTGAAACACTACTGGTCCCAAGGGTTTCGGATAAAGGAATGTGGACCTGTAGTGGCCCTGTTGTTCTAATGTAAGTAAATTACCATCCATAGGGAATCAAATTTTGTGTGTGTGTATTTGTAGATGAGGAAACTCTTGAGAACAATAAGAACTAGAGAGGACAGAGATGGCCTTCAAAGACACTTAGTGTACACAGGTTGAAGTTGTGATCAAGGATTTGGTTGCTGAAATTCAATCCAACTAAGGGCAAGATCATGCATTTTGGAAGAGAAGAAACATACAATTGGAAGATAATAAAATAAGGCAATATCATTAGATTACCTGTCTAGTAACTTGTTAAGCATAGCATAAGAAGGAAGAAAGCACAGTATTCCTTGTGGCACAGCCTTACACACATCTAGAACCAATCTTCCTAGTTCATCCTGGAACTCATAGTTCTCGGTATTACGAAAGGTTGCCTGCAGCATCTTGTTTGTTGGTCCTCTACCTATTGTTCCAACCCACACCTGGATACAAGAAGAAATATGATGATATTCAAGTAAAACAAATTTATCCTTCACTGAATGTCACAATATAAAATAATAATTAAAGGAATGACAATTCAATATTCATTTATGAAACATTTTTAACGCTGAAATAAAACATTAATACAAGAATAAACTAAGTCAAAGGGCTATATTATGCTTATTGTACACTATTTCACAGAGGTAACACTGAGAGAGATACGGGAAACTTTTGTTCAAACATCATTACAGATTTGACTACAATTTGTATCTCTGCTCAAGTTTAGCTGGAAAGGCATTCAGAAGAAAGTAGCAGTATTGTATCACTAACAGAACATCTCACTTACTGTGTAGGTGAAACATTTTGGAATAGATACCTAACTGTTGCATCTTACTCATCAACTTGTTGACACTGAATGCCATTATTATTTTCACAAGAATACATTAAAATTAAAAATGAGATTCATAACTTGCTCAACAAACATACCTGGTTTCTGTCAATGACATGATTAGCCTCTAACTGTATTTTAAATGGAACACCCAATTCAGATTGGAAGGAATTCATGGGGGAGAGTGTTCCTGATGTCAAGATGATCGAACGGGTCTCGAAGCCAACAGAAAGGAAAGCCACAGCAGGGTTGAGACACCAAAAATTAATAGAGTATGCCCATCCCACTGTAGACTTCTTACTGCTATACCAACCACCTGCAGTCTGTAATGTATATTTAGGGAATTAACATTAATATTACTTTTGTTTTTCCAACACATCAGCCGTCTCCCACCGAGACAAGATGAACCCAGAAGTTATCTCCATACATATGTGTAAATATCAAATTTACGTGCTCACCGCTGGCACTATTTGTTGGTAGGGTTCGTGGAGATGTGATGGTTGGAGTTAAACACACTTGTTGGATGTTAACACCTATATTAGCAGAGTGTGAAAGGGGAAGCCCAGCCTTGCCGTGTTTTCCTGTCGTAGACCTATGGGTGGAGTGAGCAGGAGGCCGGGAGCACAGCGCTCACATGCGGCATCACATGATGTCACACAAGCTAGTCACTGAGCCTAGCAAGGGATCAACTATGTAAAACATATGGATGATACTATGATACTCAGGTAACATATACATATACAGAGGATCAGCAACTATTCTGACACACATACCAGCCAGGGTACTTCCCTACACACCAGCCAGAGTACTTCCCCACATACCAGCCAGGGTACTTCCCCACCCACCAGCCAGGGTACTTCCCCACACACCAGCCAGAGTACTTACTTCCCCACATACCAGCCAGGGTACTTCCCTACACACCAGCCAGAGTACTTCGCCACATACCAGCCAGGGTACTTCCTCACCCACCAGCCAGGGTACTTCCCCACACACATGATTTGATTCAATTGGGACTTGCGCATGAGCGAACAGAATTATCAAAGCTTACTGCTTGGGAAGTATTGAAAATTGGGTTGGCCAAATACGATTCTGTTAGTGGGATGGTTTATGAAGGACCTACCTAGTATGGGTCAACAGGTCAAGCAGTGCTCCTGCTTTCTTATGTGCAAACATTTATGGATGAACAGTACCCTGACATAGCTGTTGCAGGCCATGCTGGCAACATCTACAATGACAATGTTGTGTCTCATTTTAGGGAAATCTTAAAGAGATGCCAGAAACAGAGCTCTCTGGACAGATTTTTGGTGCGGCAGGGGTCCAATAACTAAAGCTGGTCCTTGTGGCATTAAAAACAAAGAAGGGAGGTAACCCCGGAAAAGGACTGGGTACCTAAAGTCCTTATGGAAGGGGATTCCCCTTCCAAACAATTGTAAACTCCTCCATCCTCTGCCCTCTTCTCATCTCATCACTCATCAAATATGTCTTCAATAAAGGTAAGTGTCATTTTGTTAATTATTAATGTATTTATTCTGCATGTCTCTTTGTTTTCTGTGTAGGGAAATGTATATTTCATGTAAAAAAATTATTTTGTTTAATACTTTTGGGTGTCTGGAACAGAGTAATTGGATTTCCACTATTTCTTATGGGGAAAATTAATTCGGATAACAACAGAATCGGTTAAAGACAAGCTCTCTGGAACTGATTAATGCCGTTAACTGAGGGCCCACTGTAAATACATTGAAAACAACATTCAACAGATTTTTCCTGTAATATATTTGTCCATTGCAAATTATTTTAGCGTAAGGTTGATGAAGTCATACATCTGGCAGTGAGCATCTGGGGGACTGCAGCTCTGCAGCTCCTATGGACGAGTTGCCACTGCTCATCACCTTACTCTTATTTATGTTCACTTTAAACTTTCTTCCTTTACACATCCTCCCAAACTCATCCACTGACCTTTGCAACTTATTATCATTAAAAAATGCATGCATGTGTAATTTTTATCATGAACTTCACATTCTCCCCCCCCCCCCAAAAAAAAAAGCAACTGGACAAGCCATGCATGCTTAGAAATTTTATTACAGTACAGTATTATTGTAATAATAAATTATAGTACATCTCCTTAGTCAGGTCATTAATATAACAAGAAAAGAATAGTGTGGGACTAAGCACTGATCTATGGGGTACAGTCAGTGGCAGCTCATCCATAGGAGCTGCAAGAGCTGCAGTCCCCCCAGATGCTCATTGCCAGACGTATGACTTCATCAACCTTACACTAAAATAATTTGCAACTGACAAATATATTACAGGAAAAATCTGTTATAAGCAAATTTTTATTTTTTGTTGAAACGAGATAAAAAATTATTAAAAATAGAAGTTTGATGCAGTACAATAGTACAGGCATTACTGGCACTCCAAGCTGCCACTGGGTACAGTCCTCCAGAATTTTTCTCTACAGTCCAACATCTCTTACATTTTGTATCTTCTGTCTGTCAGGTACTTTCACTCAATGGAGTACAATTCCTAACACCCCAGCCTGCTTTTCCGATTTGTATATCAGTCATAAGTGAGGTACTGACAGTCTTGGGATATGCAGTCTACACACCCTTCCCTTTCCTGTTATTTATCATCCAGTCACAAAACTCAAATAGATTAATGATGTATGTTTTTCTTCTCTGAACCTGTGTTGGTGGAACATGATGAAGTATATATGTCAGGATAACGGGTCTGTAGGAGGTTTGTCTGTTTTCTTTCTTCTTAAATATTATTAAAACATTAGCAGTTTTTAGTCACTTGAAGATGTGCCTGCCCCCATAGAAGAAAAGTTAAACAAATATGTTCAAATAAATCAACTGTGGTAAAGAAAAGTAGCAAATTTGTGTGTTATGGTCATATTTCCTTCAAGTGGAGTGCTTTGATGCTGGCAAGGCCTCTTGACCCAATGAATTAAAGGTACCTTCTCCTTCCTTGTAGTTTAATTGCTTTATTATACTCCCCATACCCATACTGTGGACAGCTATCTTCCTTATATCAAGCCTGATTACCAGTACCTCCCATTTCCCAAATGCTTTATGATCCTCATGGGCTTAAAGCTTTTCCCATGAATAAAGAAATAATAATACAGTTGGGTTATACTGTACAATGGTTAAAAATGTGCATATTTAAAACTTACCATAGCACCTTTCTTTCTAGTTTGAGCTCTTACTATGGCAATCCGGTAATCATCTCGGTACTTCATGTTATCCATAAATAGGAAATGGTACATAAGAAAAAGATTCTTCAGCAATGTAGATGTTGAGGAGTTAATGCGAGGATTTTCATCCTCCGGGTCTGGGTCTGCTGTCAGCTTACTCAAGTAACCCTAGTAAAATAAATGTGCATGGTAAAAATCATCAATCAATAATTCAAATTATAATAAAATCAATAACTGTAATACTGTGTGATACAATAAAGGATTACAGTATGGTATATCTTCCTTCAACAAACTGGCTGTATCCCACCAAGGCAGGGTGGCCCAAAAAGAAAAACAAACGATTCTCTTTTTAAATTTAGTAATATATACAGGAGAAGGGGTTAGTATGGTGTGTGTATATATATATATATATATACAGTGGACCCTCGACCAATGATATTAATCCGTTCCTGAGAGCTCATCGTTAATCGAAATTATCGTTAGTCGAGTTAATTTTCCCCATAAGAAATAATGGGAATCAAATTAATCCGTGCAAGACACCCAAAAGTATTGAAAAAATAATTTTTTTACCACATGAAATATTAATTTTAATACACACAAACTGAAGAAGACATGTACAATTACATGACACTTACCTTTATTGAAGATCTGGTTATGATTGATGGGATGGGAGGAGGGGAGAGTGTGGATGGTGTTAGTGTTTAGAAGGGGAATCCCCTTCCACTAGGACTTGAGGTGTCAAGTCCTTTTCCGGGGTTACTTCCCTTTTTCTTTTAATGAAACTAGGACCAGCTTGAGTGTCACTGGACCTCTGTCGCACAACATATCTGTCCATAGAGGCCTGTACCTCCCGTTCCTTTATGACATTCCTAAGTGTTTCACAACATTGTCAGTGTCACAATTAAACACTTGTTCAGGTTTCAATTCTTCACTGTCTATGTACTCCTTGAATTCCTGCACATATTTTTCAGCTGCTTTTTGGTGTGAACTGGCAGCCTCACCATGCCTTATCACACTATGTATGCCACTACGATTCTTAAATCTCTCAAACCAACCTTTGCTGGCCTTAAATTCACTCACATCACCACTAGTTGCAGGCATTTTTCTAATTAAATCGTCATGCAACTTCCTAGCCTTTTCACATATGATCGCTTGAGAGATGCTATCTCCTGCTATCTGTTTTTCGTTTATCCACACCAATAACAGTCTCTCAACATCTTCTATCACTTGTGATCTCAGTTTCGAAAACACAGTTGCACCTTTGGCAAGAACAGCTTCCTTGATTGCCGTTTTCTTGGCCACAATAGAAGCGATGGTTAATTGGGGTTTTGTGTACAACCTGGCCAGCTCGGAGACACGCACTCCACTTAGCAATAATCTCTTTCTTCATGTCCATAGTAATTCTCACCCTTTTTGCTGTAGGGTTGGCATTAGAAGCTTTCTTGGGGCCCATGGTGATGTATTTTGCAGGTGCAATCACTAAAATCGCTGTGATAATATGAAATGTTCCGATTGTATGTTTGGATGGGACCGCGGTGGCTGGCTGGCTTGTAAACACTGGCCACAAGTGGACGTGTCTCGAATGGAATGAATCGTGTTGATCGAGTTTTTTAGTGCTAGTCGAGGCAAAATTTTTGCGTTAAAATGTATCGCTAGTCGGATTTAAAGTTAGACGATGCCATCGTTGATCGAGGGTCCACTGTATATCTTTCTTTCAATGCACCAGCCATATCCCACTGAGGTGGGGGTGGCCCAAAAAGACAAACGAAAGTTTCTCCTTTTAAATTTAGTAATATATACAGGAGAAGGGGTTACTAGCCCATTGCTCCCGGCATTTTAGTCGCCTCTTACGACACGCATGGCTTACGGAGGAAGAATTCTGTTCCACTTCCCCATGGAAATAAGAGGAAATAAACAAGAACAAGAACTAGAAAGAAAATAAAAGAAAACCCAGAGGGGTATGTATATATATGCTTGTACATGTATGTGTAGTGTGACCTAAGTGTAAGTAGAAGTAGCAAGATGTACCTGAAATCTTGCATGTTTATGAGACAGAAAAAGGGACACTAGCAATCCTACCATCATGTAAAACAATTACAGGCTTTTGTTTTACACTCACTTGGCAGGACGGTAGTACCTCCCTGGGCAGTTGCTGTCTACCAACCTACTACCTAGAATATATATACCATAAAAAGCATTGTAGGTTAAAATCATGGAAGACTGATCTAGTCTATCTACTATAATACATTTTACCAGCTACTAACCTTTAATTCCATATATTTATCATATCCAATGCCAAGAAGTTCAAGGTTTGCTATCATCTCTGTTCCTTTGAAAATTTTGCCTGCACGATCGAAGTCCATATAGTCTGTGAGCTTATCAGAGTTTTTGTTTACCCATTCACTCAAAGCATTCAGCATACAGGACTGAAAAAAATAAAATTATTTTCACAAAAGTAGTGTATGCACACACTGCTTGATAATTAATAGTATTGTTACATTCACACGATGTGCCAAAAAAAAAATAAGAGGGGTGAAATTGGGAGCTAACAGTGTAAGTCAAAGTTGGCATATCAAGTCAGTTTCAATCATGGAGTGTCTACAATAACAGTAGGGCACTCCTGACAATTCTAAGAGAGATCAGAAATAGTCTCAACATGTTCTTTGGGAATGGGTGTGTGCACGTGCATGTTATATACATACTGTATATGCAAAACCACCACAGGGGGAGTTGATTGATAGCTTTAGGCCTTTTGTGTTACAATCAACACATCAAGAAGAGCTTGCAATGTAAAAACAATGCAAAAACACAAACTGAACAGGTGGTGGGTGATCGCTCGCCACCCGTTCAGTCTGTATTTCTACATTGTCTGAACTCTGTATATCTCGTTCTATCTCGTTTACTATTTCACTAACTAGTTGGCTCTCGTTGATGATGGCGTCTAAGCTCAGTTGTGATAAAAAGAAGAGTCGTAAGCCTCTTACTTTAAGTGCCAAGTTAGAAATGATTAAACTTAGTGAACTGACTTTTTTGGGTTATCCTAGGTTCTTTACACATATGCTGCTATGTATGATAATCTATGTAACTGTATTTGTGTATACCTGAATACACTTACTAACAAGGTATGTCAATGGTTGAAATAGCCATCAAATACAGTTACATATAGCAGCATATGTGTAGAGAACCTAGGATAACCCAAAAAAAAGTCAGACAAAGTGACTTATTGCTGACATAGAAAAACTTTTACACTGCCACTCACCCTTCACTCATTCATATTAATACTTTAAGGTAGGTAACAAGTGTACTGTGTGTGTATTTTAATGCTTAATTCTATTGCTAACTTAATATATGTTAGTGTAAACCTGTTATCTAGCATTTATATGCATTTATAAGTGGTAAAAAAAAGGGGAGTTCCACCTTATGGTGATTTCTGCTCTACGGCAGTAGCATAGAACCTAACCTGCCATATAAGTGGAGCCCTTCTGTACTGTATACTAATTTTACAGAAAGTCAGTTGCATATTCAATGAGCATTTAATCTTAGTTAAAAGAAACATTGTTTAAAATTGCAGTCAATTTCATTTACTAAGCAATTTCTTCTTCCTCTTCTTTCAACAAACTGGCCGTATCCCACCTAGTAAGGGTGGCCCAAAAAGAAAAATTAAAGTTTCTCTTTTTTAAATTTACTAATTTATACAGGAGAAGGGGGTTACTAGCCCCTTGTTCCTGGCATTTTAGTCACCTCTTACAACACACATGGCTTAAGGAGGAAAAATTCTTTCCACATCCTCATGGAGAACTAAGCAATTTATAATCTTAATTTCCTATTGAAGGCTAAATAAATATGTTACACTGTGGGTGTGACTGCCAACAAAAGACTTTTGTTAACAAGACTCAATGTGCCATTTACAGCAGTGATATACATAGGACTTTTGGATTACCAGATTAGTGCACTCCTGTACATTAAGTTCTAATTCGACCATCTTGTCAAGTTCATTCTTGGCTGTAAGTATCTCATCTTGAGTAAGCGTGCATGAGGCCGCCTCTCTTGCACTGTCTTCAATGTTATGAGCTTCATCCAGCACTACTACTTGCCCACACAGGCTGATGTCCATCTGTAAATGAACCTCTAAGTACCTTTATGTCAAGAATAAAGATTATTTTACTACACTGACTTTTCCCCAGCAAGGTTAGGTAACCCAAGGAAGGAAACAATGAAGAGAAAAGATATTTTAGCAAAATATGTCTACAAATTGGGTCATCATGCAACACTGATGGTGAGGTTATACATCTTTACCAGAGGGAAAATATTATACTAAACAAAGAAAATCCTAGCTTGTGTTTGTTCCAAAATATGTTCCTGGAAAGAAAAAAAAAAGAGTACTGTACTAGTAACATTCATACTTTACTTTAAGGAGTTAATTAAACAAATGTTCATTCAAAAAACAAGAAGAAACATAGCATGCTGCTAATCATGAGAATAACAACCTACAACTAGAATGAATGATTTATTGTTATATTCATGGGGAAGTACTAAATCCAAAGGGGTAGTAAATCCCCAGGGGAATAAGATGTAATAGGTTTGATCCAAAGAAAGGATGGTATTTTCAAGTCTTTAATAAAGGGCCCTTGCACCAGCATCAGGATACCCTACCCCCCCTTTCCTTTGAAAGGGGAGTCAAGTACTATTCCTTTCTACTGCAAATGTTTTTTTTTTTTAGCAGCACAGCCATGGGGGGGGGGAGAGGCTAATGCCCCCACCCATACAATACAAACACTTATTTTTTCAATGGTTAATTTTCACTATTATATTGATCAGTGACCAAGAAAGTATGATAGTTTTAGAAATTTCATGTATATATACAAAATTATGCTTTTTTAAATATGATTTCTAGATTTTTTTCAGCATCTTATGGTTTTTCAATCTCTCAGATTGAAATCATTCCTTAATCTCCCCACACTGAATTCATGGCTTAATCTTCTACTTGAAATTTGTTTAAATCTATCAGAATGAAATCCTGGTTTAATCTAAATTGAAATCCTGGCTTAATCTATCTAAATTGAAATCCTGGCTTAATTTACCTAGACTGAAATCTTTTCTCAATCTAGACTGAAATCCTGGCTTAATCTATCTGGATTGAAATCCTGGCTTAATCTATCTGGACTGAAACCCTGGTTTAAAATTCTACCTAAACTAAATCCTGGTTTCCCCCTCCCCCCCAAATGGAAATCCGGGGTAATCCCTCCCGACCTCTTTTGGGGGGATCAAATATTTGATGGCAGAAGATGATCTCACTGTGGCCATCGTGATCTGGCAACAAGTAGGGAAAGCTTTGACTTTTTTCCCCAGGGTCACCAAGTCTTCTATTCCCCCAGGCGGTGTCCATGCCAAACGCTGCCAAGCGGTTGATTCTTGTCTGATTGTCCGGGGGAAAAACCTGCACCCTGAGCCCTGTATAAAGACGAGGAAATTACATTAAAAAAGAAAATTTTATTTTAAAAGGGGAACAACTCCACTACTTTCAATATGGCTTTGCCCTGGTGGCCTTAACTCCCCAACAATAACTTTTTTTAAGTTATTTTGTTAAAATAATAAAAATAAAAATAAAAATAAAAATAATAGTGTATAATTGTACTGCCTTTTTCGATTGGGGAAGATATCCATCCCAAAAAAGATACTCTTGTATATAGTATTGTATTTTAAATGTAGCTTTTTTTTATACTCAATAATACGTTAAGTGTATTTTTTATTATACATTGTGGGGGAAAGCTAAACCCTTAAAAAAAGGGGGTCAACAACGCCTGGGAGAAGGGGAAACTTCAGGTTCAATTCAAGAAAATGGAAGGTAGGTCTAATTCCTTGGATCAAGAACCCCTCACCGACACCAAAGAACCTACTTTGAGGAAGTGTGCTTATGCTATCAAATAGCCTAAAGACCCGTATAAGAAATTGTTCCACCAAACCCACTCTCATGACTTCTATTTCCCAGAGCTCACCTGAACACACTTCTCTCCGTTGACTGCTTTTTTCAGCCAGGCTTTTGCTGTACGTGGCCAGAAGGCCTACGTACGTTTGCCGTCCAGTGATTGACCTAATACCTAGTGCACTGAGGACCTATGATCGCCTTCGCGTTTAACCATGCAGCAATAAATGCCTTCGAAACAGTACTCTCATTCTTGGTTTTTTTTTTGGGGGCCCCCATCCTCTATCTCCAGCCCATGAAGTTTTTCAAAAACAAGTTATATCAAAATATGTTAACATTTTGGAGCAGCCCAAGCAAAAGCCGTGAGACGTCAACTTAGGGGCAGGAAGAATTTATAAACAGCAACACGGAGTAAAAGCCTGCTGAGCCCGGTAAACAAAGGGTTTTATTTTTTTGTAAAAGGGTTCTTAAATAAAATAAAAATTATAGTTATAAGATTGATCCAAGAAGCGGAGTGGGTTCAATTCCTTGATCAAGAGCCTTCAAACCCGGCAAAAAAGGAGCCTCCCAAAAGGGGGACATGCCACTTTCACGTCATTAATATCGACGGCTTAGAAAAGGCGCTCTTCGAAAGGTTTTATTACATAAACTTTCAAGCAAACAAGATACTTCTGTCATTATCAAAATTTTATGGACAACACTCGCGTGAAATGTAAATGTTTCAGACGAATAGCAAGAACCTCATGAATAATAATAATAATGATAATAATAATAAAAAAAACAGTCGGTTCCTTATCAGTTGGCTTGTGGTCCGTATATTAGAGTGCGTGCGCCTAGCACTAAGAGCCTGGTTGATCAGACCTTGATCCATGGAGGCCGGGTCGGGGACTGGCCGCAGAGGCGTTGACCCTCAGAGCATTCTCAAAGCAGACCTCAACACAGAACACCTCAAAGAAGGAAGGGGAGGAAGAATCACAAGGTAACTACGTTCTACGTTACTTACTACACGTATTTCTAGTTCATCTTCGACCTCTTCAAGTCGAGACCTGCGACGATCCTGTGACAAAATAATAATAATGACGATTAAAAAAAATCTATAACTTAAAGTTGAAAACATTGTTGTTCTATTAACTACTACAAATACACTCAAGTTACGCTAAGGAATAAACTTTATTTTATTTAGTATGGTGCCCCGATTAAAACCAAAATAAGGTGTTTAAAAAAGAACAAGAGAGCAACAAAATACGACTCCAGAGTAAGAAATGAATGCGCTATCTAAACACCTTTTTAAAAAGGTACAAGTCACAAATCGGCGGGGAAAAATTCATAAAATAACTGCGTTTGGGAGAGGTACGTACAGCAGATACGTCTCGGTCCCTTCTGAATCTTATAAGCGTGAGTGGGGAAACAAGGGGGGGATTGCCCAAAGATAATGAAGAAATGAGGAGAAAATCTTTTATTTTTATCGTTTATTGTTATCATAGGTGTAGGGGGTTTTTATGTATGGGGGAGGAGGGATATTTTTTTTATCTCAAATTATGTTTGTGTGGTTGTTAATGATTTATTTGTGTAAGCCTGTTTTTTTCTTTATCTACTTTGATTGTATTTTTCTAAATAAAATAAAAAAAAAAAATGGAAAAAAAAATGAAAAAATTTAAAAAAAATCTTTTAGATAAAGGAAAACAAAAGACGATTGCTACATACGTCAATAAGTAAGGGGTAATTTTTTAACATAACAGGAAGGTACTAAAAAAAAAAATTTTACAAATGGTGGTGGAGTCTGGAACGAAATCGAAGGAAAGGGAGAAATAAAAAAAAGGCACATACCGTGACTGGGAAAGATACAAAAAACCCGCACATAAAAGAGAAAGCTTCCGAACGTTTCGGTCCCCACTTGGACCAATTTTACAAAGTCCACTAACCAGAGGTGGGGGGAGGACGGGGTATATATACCGTCCTGCTCCACCTCTGGTTAGTGTGACTTTGTCAAAGGGCCAAGTCGGACCGAAACGTCGTCATAAACTCTCTCTTTTATGTGCGGGTTTTTGTGAGGGAGAAAGATCTAAAAATACAGGAAACTTTTAACTATATCTGGGAAAAACTATTTTATTCGCCGGGAATCCCCGGCCCGGGTCTCTTCATTTTGGGACCCCGGGAATAAACTGGGAAAAAAATCACAAGTCGCTCGATCAGCTCACTCTGTAACTACTAAAAAAAGTAATCACAAATGGGTTCTACAGATGGTAATCAAAAATTAAAAAAAAGCTAATCATAAATGAGTTTAACAACATTAACAAATTAAAATCAAAAATTTTGTTACAAAAATAATCACAAAGTTAATAACAAAAAAGGGAATCACGAACGGGTTTTTGTAATAAAAGGTAAGAAAAAAAAAGGTAATCACAAAAGACACAACTAGGAACAAATACGGTATGACAAGAAAGGACACATACCGGTGGGGGGCCAGCAATCCCTAACCTTCCCTTCTGGTTACTGGACTTACTGACATGGGGGGAATACAAGTGTAAATTTTCCCCGACCCCCCGCCCAAGACCCAAGATACACAATACAATCAGCTGTCATTTTATGTCCCAACGCACCCAAAATTAAACTTAAATATCCACAAAAAATTTTCAAATAAACATTAAAAGTACGAAGACGGGGTTTTTTTCCGCAAACAACTCTTTGTCCCAAAACAAAAAAGCTGCAGGATCTCTGCAACCAAAACCCATTGCAATTATTATTTTGGGGAGCGTAAACACGAAGGACATACAGCCTGTGGGGGGGGAGGAAGGGATTCAAGCTCAATTTAGGGAACGGCGCACAGATCCAAATTCCTAGATCAAGAGCCCCCTTTCCAGCGCCAAGGAAACCCCCTTTAGGAGACATATTGTCAAAACAACAGCTGCAGGATCCTGCAAGTAAGTAATTTTTCAGGATAACAAAACAGAATAGAATATCACACTAGCAGCATATGGTCGAGAACCCAGGAAAACCCAAAAAAGCCCGCCGTGCTTATTTCCATTGGGGGCCTTTTACCCTTTTTATTTTAATATAAAGGTTTTAATATTTTTTATTATTCTACAATGAAGATAAACAACTTATTATCATATAAAAAGACTATCTACAAACGAGGGTCATTACTAGGAAAAGGTAAAATTTACAGGGGTGTTAGCTTAAAAAAAAAAAAAATAATTCCCCTCCCTTTCTGTAGCTACATTCTCAACACCTTTTTGGCACTTTCTTGAACGGTTTTAGCTAAGACGGCTTTTACATGTCAGGGAGTCTGTTCCATTCCCTTTTTGCTGTACAATAAAAGGGGTTGAAGCCTGGGCACTGACTGTGGGGACACAAAGTTTTTGGGTCTCTCCCCCAGTACTAGATTGCTTTTGGGTTTCCCCCCTTGGGCAAAATTTGAAAGCAAGATATTCTGGACACTGTTTTTGGCAATTTTTAAAATATTTAGCTTCAAAAATTTTTTTTAAATCAACCTGAGGATCTCTAAATACAACACTTGCAAAATCAACAGCTGCAAGCATTTTCCCTTGGTTTGATTTACATTCATTAACCGATGAATTAAATTTTTTACAATAAACGTACAAAACACAAGGTCATTATAAACAAAATTTAATAAATTATCAAGATTTGACCCCAATAACCCCAAAAAAAACTCACATGACGTGATTTATTTCAAGTAAACTCGCTTTACTTTCAATCTTACTGCATCACTTACTGCAACAAATAAAAATACATGACAAACAAAATATAAAAAAATAATAAATTAGACGACATAACCGACAGTATGTGTTATTCGTCAAATTGAGTAAATATCTAAGATAATAACCATACATAAGGAAAGACGTGGTTAATGAGAACTTGGAGCGACTATTGATTGTCTTCAACGAAACCATTTATCATCAAATTATAATAATAATAATAATACAAAAAACGGTAACCGTTAACCCTAATGTAAATAAGTCAGTGCTTGACTTATTGGGTATCCTGGGTTAAATTATGTTCCCATAATCTCTGTATGCCGCAAGAACCATTTCTGAAAACATATGTTGTGTGTTCCAAACCTTAAACTAAATTTTGCCGAGTCATTCTAGCCCATACTTTACACACTTCTCGTTATGTGCCTTACAAAAGAACTTGAATGTTTAGTAACTAATTTCAATAATTACTGTGGCGCTCCATAACAGTTAAGTCATCATATAAGATAAGATTTCGTTCGGATTTTTAACCCCCCGGAGGGTTAGCCACCCAGATACCCAAGAAGTCAGTGCGTCACGAGGACTGTCTAACTTATTTCCATTGGGGTCCTTAATCTTGTCCCCCAGATGCGACCCACACCAGTTCGACTAACACCCAGGTACCTATTTTGCTGCTAGTGAACAGGACAACAGGTGTAAGGAAACGTGTCGAAATGTTTCCACCCGCCGGAATCGAACCCGGCCCTCCGTGTCAGTGAAGCGGGGCTTTAAGCCACCAGGCCACCGGCACCCCAGATGTAGGTGTTTTGTTCGTCAGGAAACATGACAACAGTATTTGTCACGTATGACTCGCTAGCCGCTACCCGGAGTTAAGTTTGAACAATAATTTAGGAAATAAAAACAAAGGGTTACCACATAGAGTAGCATTCGTAAGATGGTTTACGCCATTAAGTGTTAAGACACTCACAACAATGCTATGCTATAAAAAAAAAAAACGCTGCTCAGAGAGTTAAGTGGTGAATCATCATATATTAACAGTCACATACTACATTGCACCTCGACTCAACGCCATACATAAACAAGTCGAGGGAAGAATACATAGTTTTACAGCGAAAAATAATTTCAAATGACTTCATTGCTGCTAGACTAACGATATAAACAAAAAATTATATACATCAAGGATTATTCAAATTTCAGTTGAAAAAACAAGTACCTGAACAGGGCCGGGAGAAAAGCAGATAAATATTTACCCTCCAACTGAGCTGGTCTGTCGGAACCCATAGTGGCCGCCCAGCCTAGGTCAACGGCTCATAATCCTTGCCTCCCATTCACCTCCAGCACTGTGATGCCAACAACCATTAATCGCATCAAAAATTTCCCCAACTTTAATATCAAAATGACTGTTTTATACCTGAATATTTTGGTTACCCATAAATTACCAGAGAAAATGTACGTGTCACCAGGAAAAAAAAAAAACAGGGATGTGTCGGACCCCATGGTGACTATCCTTTCAACAGACTGTCAATAATTATGGACACGAGCGGGTAAAACCAACAGAAGGGTGTGTAAAGGCGCATGGGGGCGATGGACGCGAACAGAATGCTGAGTGTCGGTGGTTGAATTTGATGTGTGTGAAGATCGTTCATAACACCACACCAACAAACGAGGGACCTTTCATCTGCGCTATTAACTAGCGAGACCTGATTAAGTCGGCAACTGATTTCATCATCTCCGGCTGAGATATTCCTAAGTTAAATTTAGGAGTAACTGCGGGACCCTTGATAATCAAGTAACTAGCATTATGGACAACTAGAATGCATAAAATCATTTACAATCAACAAGGCTCAAAAAATAGTCTCATACTCGTACCGCAGTAAAATAGGTTCCTGGGAGTTAATAGACAGTTGGTTCACATCAGGAAGAGAACCGAAGGACCCCACTGACGACAAGGCACACTGTCTGGCTTTTTGAGATATTATCCATAAGGATTACTATTAGTACTACAAATACGACGAAGAAAGAGAGAAAAACAAAAGGGAATAAATGGGGTTTTTGTCGTCCTTTGCCTTCCTTCCCTCTGTAGGTTATCACTTTGCTGGACGCCAAAGCTGCAACATTATCAGCCAGTGGTCACGGAAAGCGCTTAGGATGATGTTTGGTAGATACACACCTCAATGGTTGTCTACCATGCCATACCCCACCTTGCACCTTGCTTCACCCTTAGATAGTTCAGGTTTGTGTCCTATCATGTTCTACCTCAACTCGTACCTCGTCTCGGGGCCACAGCAGTCGGTCCGCTTTAATCAACATAACCATCAGAAACCACAACTGCTTGACAGCAAAC